CCAGTTGATGCTTACACACTAAATTTTTGATCTGCATATATCATACTGCAAATTAATCCTTCAATACAAGCCATGGAAGTGAAACTATGTACAGCCCAGTGTTTCACTGTTGTCTGCTGCTGTTTTTTGCTGTTTTTTTTTTTTTTTTTTTTTTTTTTTTTTGTGTGTGTGTGTGTGTTATGTTTTCTGTATATTTATGCTGCAGGCTCACTGAGGCACAGACTCGGCTAGTCTGTACATCTGATAGACCAGCAATGTTATATAAAATATACTAAAAAATGCAATAGCTAATTTAAGTTTGTTGTTTTTTTTCCAGCTCCAGGGTTTTTCAGAACTGTGTTGATTTGATTTAATGGCACAAAATGAAACTAAGCACAGGCAGGCTCTGTGCAACTACTCCTGTGTGTTCACAGGAAGCTTCTCATTCAGCGTATTTAATCTATGTGAAGATCCTAACAGGAAGGGTTTTTTTTCAAAATTGCCTGCAGTGGAGCCCAGTACGAAATCTGCTCTCCTTCCATGTCTACCCTTGAGCTGTAGGGAAACTGAAAGCATGGAAAGATTTGCTAATATTCTTCTTACCCAAAAGAAATGGGTATGGAGTGTTACCTAGTCAGAGTGGATCTCTGGTGTGGTTTGTTTGAAAATTGAGTTTTTTGGGTTTTTTTTTCCCCCTTTCTTTAACGAAAAGGCCATTATTTGCCATCCATAGCAAGTAAATGTTTACCATTTCTACAGGTCCACAGGTCCCTCTTGACTCACATTAAGTGAGATGTGAGATCGATAGTGGCTCTGCAATTATTTGCCTATTGATAAAACCTTCATTTCTTAAATGAAGTACATTTATCTGTGCCCTGACAGTGATAAGAGAGCAGTACCAGTAAGCTGCTGCCTACTCTAGCCATTTAGCTCCAGGCAGACAAGTGCTTGGACATGGGTCAAATGATGTCTAACTTTCTTCCTATTGGCATTTCACTTTATAAACTGCTTTGATGGAAGGCTTGACAAATCATCCTTGCTGAATTCAGATAATAAAAACAAGCAGGACAAATGGGAAGTTTTGGGAAAAAGTGAACAGTGGCTGATTTCAGGTTAACTGAACAGTTTGTAATGTTACTGGATTGTGAAATGATAAGAGATTTGTTACATCAGAAGATGATAAAAAGTAACCTGTATTATAAACAGTTGTTTGGTTCACAAATTTAAAAAAAAAAATCATTTAAATCAAATTGAGTGGTTGAAAAATTGATCTTAAATCAAATTGAGTGGTTGAAAAGTTGATCTGAACTTTATTTTGTGATAGGAGGGAAATTAAAGAAACATTGAGACAAATTTTCGCTCTGGTAAAATCAGTGAGAAATTCTATTTGACTTTAGTGAAGCCAAGATTTCACTACAATGAGTCATGGCAATCTATTTCTTCCCCAGTATTAGAGAATTCAACATTTAAATAAATAATTAGAATGAATAGAATAAAATAGAAGAAATTTCTAACTCTGTCACAGTAGAAAAGGAGTTTCCAAACTGCTGTCAGATTCATTAGTGATAATTCAGAGGTAAATGGACTCAGTTGCTTTTCCTGTCTGCAACATATGTTGATTTAAGCTAGCAATTTTTGTTGATGTGTACTGTGGACTGTACTGGCTATATACTATAGAAAAATTAGTTGTATTACTGCGGGTAAAGAAATTGCATTATTGACAACTTGGCTAGCTTTTAGAGAGACAGTTATGTTAATTCCTATTTATTGGGAAGTTTGATAAAGACTTGCGCACCTATCTGATAATCAACTTTCTCAGATATGTCCTTTCTGTTTTTTGGACATGAATTAAGAAATGTAAAGCCTGCAGAGCAAATGGGAAAAGTAGTTTTAATACCCAAGTCTCTCAAAGATTCCTTTCTTCTTTTCCAGTTCTATTACTATGTGCCTACTCAATGTTTCCATCAGTTGTGCAATGACTATTGTGGAATTGCTTGGTTCACCTTCCTTGAAAGAAGACTCAAATGCAACTGAGAAGTAAAAAAAAAAGAAAAGAAATCCAATTTTTATTTGTGTCTCTCTTGAGCTACTGAATATTTTTTTGAATGTCTTAAGATTGTGGAAAAAACTTGAGTGCAACACTTAAGTTAAATTTTGATTTGGAGTCTACCAGCTTCCCTCCCTTCCTCTGTTGGAATTAACAGGAGAATATATCTCTTCTTCCTCTCCAGGGCCTGGCAGTGAGTGGACCAAGAGAAGTGGCAAGAGAAGCCACTGAGGACAGACAGACAGTCACTGAAGCATGAACAATTTTTTAAGTATGGAGAGGTAAAGTGTGTTTTTTATAACCAATAGGGGAAATTTAAAAGTTACCTAATTCTAAATGTATTAATTCTAGGTAGGTTAAACTAAAGAGAGGTCACACCATCTAAAAACATAAGTTACCAGAATGTTTTGGTTTCTTCAGCTGTATCATGTACTTGGCAAGGTTGCTTAGATGGGACAGGTGGCTGGAGAAAGGAGTAGATCTCCAGTGCTTGGATGTGCCACTCACATGGCTGCATAAAGAGTTGTGCACTGCTGGCTACAAAGGTTGCAATAAATATACATCTGTCTAAGCTTCAGCAGCATCTTTACACTACCAAATCAAAAGCATTTTCTTATATAAATCCTTTGGAACCTCTGGCAAATATATAATGAACAATTTACCTCTCTCATTTAAAAGCTAACAAGCAAGACTGATACAATTAAACTGTAATTTCGAAAATTTTTGTATACGTTATGAGTTTTGAATGTTATTTTACTATTAGTTTACTAAGCCTATCACTTCTGAAATGTTAGGGGAAAAAAAAAGAGACTGTTATTTGCCCTTGAGGAGATGGCCATCCTACGAAGATACAGACAATAAGGTATAGTCAAGAATAACAAACAGCTTTACAAGGCAGCTTTGTAACTGTGATTATAAAAAGCCAAATGGTTTCTTCTCAGTAAATGAATGTTGTGGATTACTGAGTTTGTGCTATCACAGAAGCAATAATATAAGGCTTTACTGGTTTAGTGAACACCACAGAGGGGACATCCTCATAAATGAGAAAGGTTGGTATTTCTTGATATGCTTCTTATTCCATTAAATTTTACAGAGTCAGATTTTCAATGAAAGTCAGCTCAGGCTTTTGAAATATTGTTTTGATTAATAATGTGTTTTCAGCATTAAGTTCAGTTTTCTGTTGAGATACCTTAAGAAACAAAGATATGCATCGAATGCATCTCAGTACTTAGATACAATAATTGCTCCCAATGTTTTTCCACAGAATTTGCTGCTTAGCTAGTTTGTACAACTCTGCTGAATGCTCGCCAGCTTTGTAAGGCACTTTAGTGTCTTAAAAAACCTGACGCACTCAACTTCATCCAGACAACTCATTCATACTTTTGGGCATAAACTTAGGTAGTTAGCTGGAAAAGTTATGTGTGTTTTTTTGTTTCAGTTTTATCATCGTTCTCTACAAATATATGCCTTAGCTCTTTGGGTCAAGTGGCAACATCATTGTATTTTACTATTTATAGAATAGCATCTAATAGTGACCTTTAACTAATGGAGTTATGCAATGCATAATAGTGAATTAATAGTTGGAAAGGTGTTGACTCTTTTGTTGCTACCTTGTTTCTGTAAAGAAGCAATATGACTGCAAGGCTCCCATTAGCAGGAAAAGTAGCTCTTTTTATAGTAGCATAAATGAGAGAAAAATGCTATTTGTGTTTTGAGAGAGCTTCATCTAAACTTTCCATAAAGATTCAAACACTATAAATATCACACAGAAGGACATATTTCAGAGAGTAATTGAGTTTTCACAGCATATGCAAAATTGTCTTACTCCTCTTGGTTTATCTGCAATTGTATTATAACAATTTATTTGTAGAATTTTATTCCTTTACAGAGAAGCTTTAAAAAAAAAAAAAAAAAAATTAATTAAAGAAAAAGATCATTAAATGTCAGCACTGCTGATATTTCTTTCATTGTTGTGCTTGGCTCAACTGTTTACTCTCTTTGTAGACAAACAACTTCTGAGTAAAACCATAATTTTTGGCTATGGAGAAATTGCTGGATCTGACCTTATTTATGTTTTTAAGTCTCTCTTTTCAACTGCCTGTAAATAAAAAATAACTGTAAATAAGAAATTCACTTAGCCAAAGTTTATTTAGACCAGTTCTATTAAGTCAGCAGTGTGCAAACCTGAAACAGAAGACAGGCAGAAAAATCTGTTCCTATGAAGTCAATAGGAATCCATCCCCCTAAGCCCTTTTTTTATTCCTGGCGTTGGTGATTTTTCTTGACTGATTCATTGAAGGGCACTGGTTTAACTAATTTGTCTTGCATAGGTATCTTTCCTCTGCGTCCTCTCTGCTAGTGCAAAACAATCTTCCCTTTAAAGGTTATTTCCTACCTAGATTTGTCATAAAGCTATTATCATTAATCTGTGCTTCAAGAGTTCCTTTCACTTTTTAAAGACCATGAGTTATATGCCTGATTTATGTGTTACAGTGTGACAACCGTATGCAAACAAGACTGCTTATACTTACCTGAAGTTCCTTTAAAAAGAATATTTTAACCATATCTCCAAATCATCTGCTTTATATAAACAAATATCATAAATATCATAAAAATATACCAATCTGTATTTTCCTCTGTCCTCTGGAATCTATAATAAAATGTTATCTTTGTTCAGGAATATTCAGAAAGTATGTAGAGTAAGCTTACAATACTCTACTAAATTCTGTAGGTTTTAAAAACCACTTCAATCAAAACCCACTTTTAATCTTTCCATTTAATTGTCCTGCAAGTGATAGTTAAAAGGTGATCATCTGTTTACTGTGGACCTCATAAAATATATTTTAAAATCATATTTGTTTTTCAGGAAACAATAACAAAACCAAAATATATTCAGCAGTTTTAGGGAAAAAAGGAACAATGCAAGAGTAGTAAGGAAGGAAAAATGTAAGCATGAAAAATAGAATTTACTTACCTAAACTAAACAGCACCAGGAATTTGAGACATACAAATTCTCGTAGATCAAACTGCAGGGAACGAAGCTTTGCTACTAGTTCTTGTGCATGGCTCATAAGGTTGTTGAGGGTGGCTCCAGCTTGTGATGCTATTACGGAATAATCTACCTGTAAAAGAGAAATACATATTTCTGTGAAATACATCTGTCTGTGTCTGCAGAACCACTTTAGAATATTTCAAGTAGTCACATAGTCACAAGTAGCTAGGATACTCCTGGATGAAAGAATCACTCTCAATTTAATGATGTTATCAAGTTAGGATGATTTCATATACAAACCCATTTTAGCACAACAGTATATATTGGAATTATTATTAAACCATACATCTTAATGGTATGTCACATCTCTGTGAATGCTGGTTTGTCTGTATTAGTTTGTGTTAGAGGCTTTATATATGACTATTGCTTATGACACTGGGAGTCTCGTATTAGTTTGTTTTATACACTTGGTGTCTCTTGTTCTTACTGTAACTATATGATCTTGTGGAGAGAGACTGATGAAGTTGGGCTTTGCACCCACACCAGGCATATTAGTCCTGAGGGATATAAAGTTATTCATGGGAAACAATCCGGTGCCCATAACTTGGCCAGAAACCTCTATTTAAGCCCTGAAATGTCAGTGTATTCCCACAGGAAGTGGACGTATTGTGAGGGTAATTTCTGTTCTCTTTAGCTACTCAAAATCCTGGCACTTTCTGGAGCTGGTTCCAAGGGACTTTTTTCTTGCAGTTCCTTCTCTGCTGTGGGAGGAGGAGTGGGCAGGTGTATGGCACAGGCCAGCTGCACAGACACAGTCCCAGGCAGCCACGGTGGTGCACGAAGCCCCTTGATCTGCAGCACAGTAAGGAGTGTGACTGCAGGGGAGGTCTGCTGCCCTTGACATGCTGCCCTTTCCTTTTCAGAGAGACTGGCCTCTCCACAAGCTGTTCTAAATGTCTCTTGTGTGTAGAGGACCAACAGAAAGCTGTGATGAATGCACTGTATTTTAAAACAGCAATGTTTATTAGCCAAGGGTACTTAAAACCCTTCCTATCTGATATACTCAATTGCAATTCTTGAAATCAGTCAGTCTCACCACTGTGTATACTAAAACATTTTTATGGAAATGCTAGTGTCATTAAGGGGATGCATCCATACGAATGGCTGCACCAGCCACTGCCACCGCTAACTTCTGTAGACTTCGTTATGGAATGATGAAAGCTGAGACATACTCAGGCTCTGTGGCCTCTGGGAATGCCATGATCTAGAGACAAAGCATAGGGGCTATGATGTGCTAGGTGTTTTCAAAATGCCTTTCTTGCCTGGCTATTCTAATATTTGCAGAGCTTTAGTCTCTTAGGGGCCTCCACAGCAACAGGGGAATTGACAGCCATACTTCATATAACCACATGCTGGTGAAGCCTGGCTTTAAACTAAGGCAAAGCCCAATGGTAAGTGCACACTTTGGGTTAACAGTGTGTTTAAAGATGTCAGTGCACTAATCCAGTCTTTAAGGCCTCTCATAATAAAGTACTTAATAAAGAAGGACCAGATACCACTGAAGGAAATAGAACAGTACCAAAAATTTTGTTTTTCCAGGCACTGATCCCTTAGAATTTATATTTTCTAAATAAGTGGATATGGATACTGTATTTTGAAACATGTTTTTTCTTTATTTTAAAGTGTTAAATTGATTTTGCTCAATCATAAACTGCTGTAAAGCAAGAAGAAAACTCTAGGACTTAAACCTGTCAAAATTTCAGCCAGGAAAGATAAGATAGATGATTGAAAAGGACTAAAACTAACCTCTCCTAGAGATGACCTTTTTGTAATCAATAGGTTACAGACTTTAATAAGACATTTTATTTATATATACTTAGTGCTCCCAAGACATTGATTGGAAGCAACTGTACAAGAAAAATGAAGTTATTCTTTTGGCATGGATTTTAAAAATAGCACTGCAGAGCATTTAGTGTTGTGCTTATGTTTCAGTGAAGTCAATGGATTATGCTTAAATATCCTATAAGATAGTTTTTATTGCCGTCTTTTATACTTGGAAACACTGAAGTGGTGACATTAAATTGTTTATCCTTGTCCAAAGAAATCTGTGACAAAACTAGGATCCAGTCTTTGTGACTCCCAGACAAACTGTCTTTCGAAAACTGCTTTCTATTTCATCTGTTCTCTCTCTCTCTCTCCCCCCCTCCACATACATGAATTTCTTTCTTTCTTTCTTTCTTTATTTATTTATATATAAGGATATATGTTTACTTAAATAGTAATAAATAAGTAGTAACGTGCCCAAATACTTTTTATTCATAGAGCAGTTTAACATGGTGATACGATTCAACTACTTCCTATTGAGAAACTGGTCACATACAAATATCAACTCATTCTCAACTTAATTTCCCTTTTGTAATGTTAATGCTTTGTTAAGTGGAGGAAGAAAGCTCGAAATCCCTCACTGAGGTTCCAGTTTGAGGGGGAAATATGCCTTTCAATTCATAATAAGATGTTAAGATGTCTGGATGTCAAGAATATCAGTGGCTTTAGTGCAGCAATTATGCCGTAATGGAAAAGCCCAGTAGATGTCTGGATCTCCCACCATCCCTCTACTGGAGAGCTCTCACACAACCTGCTACTCTTTCAGGTGCATTTAATATTTGCAACACCAGCAAATTTGTCTGGGAGGCAAGTCCTCATCTGCCACTCACCATGAGCAGGCTGTATTAAATTTTTATATTTATTGACATTTCATTACCATAATTGACTGCAGTTGGTTCTCTAGTAGAAGGCACAGGGCTGCCTCCTAAGCAGGAGAATTGGTCCCTTGAGTAGGATTTGCAATTAAAAACAATGCAGAATGGATTTTTTTTTTATTGTGTAAATATGATGAGTTGAATTTTCGGCTTTAACTAGAGAATACTGGGTGTGCAGGAGGCTTTTTTCAAGAGTGAGCAAAATTATAAGTCAGTGGAAAGACGACCCCCAAAGGTGTCAATCAGTTTATAGAAAATCAACTGTGCATGAAAAAGCCTCAGTTAATGTCTTTTTGGAAAAAATTGGTCACATTAAAGAGTATACTATCTAGCTTGTTCGGTCCTGTATGCAGAAAGCAATATTAAAAGGTTTATTAATTCTTCCACCTTTCAGTTCACAATTAAACATGCTTTTAAAAGACAAAAATTAAAAGAGCCTAGTTCTTGAGCAAAATGCTTACTTGCATACTGACATCTTAATATTTACTTAACACTGTATGACAAATTCCATTTGGTAAATCAAATCGACAAATGGTTTCCCAGTTATTATTACTGCACAGTTTAGTTGATTTTGGTATTGAAGGTGACAAGTTAGCTGGTATTTTTGAAAACAGGAGCTTCAGTGATGCTTTCATATCACCTAATTTAGAAATAAAGCAGTAGGCATAAAGTTATGGCTGTACAGATGACTGGAGGTGTAAGTTCCTCATGTACCAGTACTCACTGTTATCTTGCATGGTGAATATAGTAATGCTAAAGAAGTAATGATAGAGATTTAACTGGGTTAGCTTAGTACCAAAGCAGTGCCAACAGAACAGCACTGTATAATTTATGCTGCCACTTGTTCTTGCCATTCTGGTACTTACACGTAGTTGTTTAGGGTTAGTGTGGATATCACTGTATGTGCTATACTGCAGGCTGTGCTGTAGTACCATTTGCTAACTGATGTGCTTAAATCTAAAATTAGGTACTGGAAACCGCCACTCTGCTGCCACTTAACTTTGTGCTTAAAGTCCTTGCTGGTCTGTCTTCCACTTAGAGAGTCAAACTGGCTCTAGGCATGGCCAGGACTACTCCAGTCGTGACAGTGGAAAATAACTGCGTGTCCAGCTCATGCTACAGCTCTTTTAATATCTATGGACTAGATTACCTAAGGCATCAAAAATGCCAGACTGGGAGTTTTTCAGCAGTCAACTGAGATGTGAGGAGTCCAGGGTCAAATCTCTAGTCCAAAGAGTGCGTGAAATATATTAGAGTGTATCCTGGCAGTTGGGGCATCTGTTGAAAGTCAGAAAGATCAAGTAGCCTCAGGTAAGCCTCATACATCTTGTAGACGTGTTCTGATCAAGAATATTGGGCAGAAAGAGAGATCTGGGAGAGAACTTCCAGTTTTGTATTCCAAATAGAAAATTGCGCTCAATTCATTTCAACAGACAGCATTCATGTAATACCCTTCTTTTCAGCATTTCTGATAGCTACTTCTTACAGCTACTCTGAGTTTGCTGGCCTTCCCGGCTCCATGTGTTGCAGAGGTAAGCGCTGGGTGGATGAGGCAGCGGGCTTTGCAGGAGAGAATACAGAAATACTAACAGCAGTGAAAAAAAAAAGCTGATAGTAAAGAGGATCATAGTTAAATGGGACTGCAGAGAGATATGGCCATGCTAAGTATTTTTTCTAAGTCCCTTTTTTTTGATCCAGTTCAAAGTGACTTAAAAGTCCAAACACCTTAAATGATAGTGGAAGCAAGTTAGGCCAGTGCTGAGTGTTCATGACAATTCTTCTTAAAAGTAATATATCTTGGTAAAGTACCTACAGTTCAGCAGCATTTATAAAGTCAGCTATCAAAAAAATTTCTCAACTGATAAGCAGAGCAGTTAAGAGATGGAAATGACTAATACTGCAGATTTTTTTTCTCACATGAATTTAGCTCACTGCGTTTTTGGCAGCAAACATCTGGGTGCAGCAAAAGACCATCCTCTTCCTCCCTGCTCTGCTCTGTGCTACTCTGGTAGCAGAGCCTGCTCCTGGCTTTGGGGACTCAGACACTGCTCCCATCCACAGATGGCAACCTGCACTGAAGGCCCTGAAGCCTTTGAGGTGGCTCTAGTGTCTGGCTATGTGGCTGGGTGAGCATTTCTCCCAGAAAAAGGCATTGGGCATAGTATATACCAAGCAAGCTAATTTACTGTCACATCCTTAATTACTTTCACTGTTTCCTGAGGTAGGAGAGAATATATATTTTGCTGGCAATTGTGTTGGTTATTAAATTCATTTTCATATTTTCATATTATTAATACTCTCATTAATTATATTTAAAACAGTGTTCATGTTATGTTTCAAAGCAAATGTATGTAGAAAAGCACACAGGAGA